CGGAGAGAGAAAAAAACTTCCAAGAAGTGGGTCTCTGACACTTAAAGGTAATACAAGGTTTTGGGAAATTTTGAAAATTGGGTGGATAATGATTCTTTACAATTTTGATAAATTCGGTTGCCCCTGTGGATGTAGTATAAGTACTAGCAAATTTAGCCCCTAAAACATTTCTGCTTTCGAGACAAATTGAATATAAAAATTTACCGGTGCTCCCGGTAAACTTTGATAAATTGCAAATAGCGCCTACGGCCGTACAATGGTAGCTGCGACCATGAAAATCTTAGAATATGTAGTTGTGATATATAATTTCCAAACTGGAAAAGATAATCGGTCGATTTTAGTCAAGATACATTGTTGTATAGCTTAATTAATATCTTGACCTTGAGAGGGAGCTATACAACATAAAGAATGTATTATTTACAATTTCATAACTTTAGATTCGATTTCAACTGCGTCAACGACCACTGAATATTGTAGGATTGCATATGCTTCCAATATTTTTCATTTGAACCAAATTCATGACCCCATACCAAAACTTTGTATTACCTTTAAGTGAAGATGTCATAAACTTTAGAGTAACAATCACAACACATATATCTTGAAAACAATTCTTCCATCCAAAGATCAGAGACAAGTTTCTGTGGTCATGACCTTGAGATTCACCGATGCCAATTGACGAACAAGGAAGGGAGGGGTTGCAGCCCCCCTTCCACGATCAAGAATGTTGAAATGGCCAATGGACATCCGTCAATTCATATCGAGGCAGCGATAATTTGTGCTTATCTCGCTTTCTGTTAGATCGTATATTTTGATAACGAAGTAGCATTTTTTTCTACAATAGTATTACGAATTCTGCTCGCTCTAAAAGTTTATCGATCGAAAATCTGATATTTGTATTCGTGCCTTCAATTTCGAAGTCAGTACCCTATAGAGGTTTCGTCCAACTACAGACACAAGGGCCCTTCAATTGATTAAAACAAACTGCAAATATAAAATATAGGATAACGTATTTTTCTTTCATGTTGCCAGTTAATAGGTTTTAGGTGAATTACGTTCTCGTACCTCTGTTGAATCATTTAAGAAGTATCTTTAAACGTATGTACTAACGTTGTAGTTGCTGTGTTATATTTGTAGCATATTTTGTAAGTCAGTTTTCATGTATTGAATAATCTGTTCTGTAATAAAGAGCATTGATCAGTTTTGAGTTCGATATGATATATACTGCTATATAAAATGATTATAAGTAGTAGTAGTAGTAGAAGAAGAAGAAGTAGTAGAAATGGTTGAAGTCAACGCTCAAAATACACGGGGGCGGTGGGCGATTCGCCCCCGTGAGCTCCACAATCGCCCCCGTCAGATGGTTCACGGGGGCGATTGCAAAATTAAAAATCGCCCCCGTGGAATTATAAAATAAAGATTATCTTTTCTGATATAACTTTAACACAATATTGAGTATCAATTTTCAAACCTTAAACCAATAAAATGGAACTAATTAGATGGCGCTTTCTCTCCCATCTCTATGAGTATTACCGATACAAACAACAGAGCTCGCAGTGCAGCTGTAGTGCGGCCGTCAGCAGTGGCTATACTGCGCCGGTAGTACCGGTGTGCACGCTGCTGACGCCCAATATCTGCTGGAGCTGGAGACGATCGCGCAAGGACTGAAACATGGAGAAGTTTTTCGTTGTGAAAAGTGTGAATCCTCTGAAATCTGGTTATTCTAAAAGATTAGCAAATAATGTAACTCGACCAGTAAATCAATATTGAGAAGAAGATCACCAAAGATGTTGCAGGGGCGGATCTAGGCGGTTTAGGGGGTTTATATAACCACCCCCCTCCCCCCGTGGGCTGCCAAGTGAAAATGTGATGTGCATAGAAAAATGCTATCATGTGTCATTGTGTCCAGACCTACACAGTATTAGTAGATGTCAGTAGATGCCAGGAAAATATCACTAATTAACGGGGGTTCAAAATAGCGCCAAAAAATCACCTCGCCGCTTCGCGGCTCCTCGACGATGCTCCGCATGTTTGTAGATGCCAGGAAAACGGGGGTTCAAAATAGCAACAACAAAAATCGCCTCGCCGCTACGCGGCTCGTGGACGATGCTCCACATCGTATTTGGGTTACCCCCCCCCCACCCTTAGCAAAAAGCTAGATCCGCCCCTGTGTTTTGGAAGGATATGGTAAAAACTAAAAGTAAAGAAAGAATGTAAATAAGGTTGCTCCGAATAATGAGGAGGACATTGTGTGCAGAGCGGGAAGAAATGGAGAGAATGTCATCACGGAGATAAAAGTCAATAACACGTATGTAACAAGTAAATTTCCTAAGAGGGAAAATGCCGACTTAAATAAATGATAATGATAAAATACCAAGGAATTTAGGAGTTTCATGGGTACCAATTCAATGAAAATTTGTATTAAAAAAGAGCCCCCGTCGGTACTAAAAGAGCCCCCGTGAGAGGGCTCACGGGGGCTCTTTTTTTTTTGGAAGAGCCCCCGTGGACAAAAAATTAATTTGAGCCTTGGTTGAAGTAGTACTATATTATTATTACTATTATTATTATCATTATTATTTTATTCTTATTATAATTATCATAATTATCATTATTGTTTAATCAATTTTATTGTTATCATTATTATTACTATTATCACTATTATTATCATTTTTATTATAAATATTATTATTACTATTATCATTCCCATAATTATTATCCGGGATAGAGGTGCCAATCCCCTGAACTTACATGAGTTGAATTTGAAGACCATCAAATGATCCATTGTCTATTTCTTGTATGTGGTTGTTCCCCAGGAATCTAGATGATATAACATTTAATCATTCTCTGTTATATGCCAACCGATTAAAGAAACAATGGGTATAAACAAAATATTAAATACAGGTTGGAAAAAACTTGTACCATAAGGATCATTACTACATAGGGGATTACAATTCAGCGAAGTGCTTTTAAATTCATTCCTTTTCAGATGATGATATTTATGAGTTTACAGTAATATTCGGTGTGCAGTAGGAATTTATTTATTACTCTTATTCAAAAAAAAATATATAGGCCTACAATATGTCAATAGACAGGATAAGAAACTTCTTTTTTCAAAATTTCAGACATGATTTTATTTTCCGTTCAAATTATTCTCATTGAAAATGTTTGTTTTTTTCATTAAAGAAGATCAATTATTTTTTCTCAAGCTTTCAGAGATATACACTGTTGCTCATAAAGTTGGAACGTTTTTCTTACCCCAATTAATTGAATTTTTTTTACACTGATTTATTCCTAATAGATCTAGATAATAGTATACATTCTCAGATTTTATTGAATAATAATTTGCCAGTGTTTGTTTTGCGTGACTGCTAAAGCAAGTGTATGGCACTATGCTTATCAATTATAGGAGACCTACGCCCTTAAGTTATAAATGACAGTAATGAGGATTAATGCCCCACAAAAGGGCACTAATATAGCACATCGACACGGTTTTGATCCTGTGGCCTCACAGGTTCGAGGCCATTGCTTTGCCACTGAACCATGACTGTACCCAACAGAAAAAAAATCTTCTGTGTGCCCATGCCTTGAGCCATAATAATTAACCATGTAAAAACCATACAAAGTTTTAATCGTAAACTTACAAGCGTTTAATGCTAGACAATCCTCTCAAAGCTCCAGTATGCAGTTCGCGAAGGTTATTGTCACTGATCCATCTGTAGGACAGACACATCAAGCACAGGTAAAGGGATTAATAAAACTGATGCCTTATATAGGGTCTGTATCCGCTAGCTTAGGCGCTAATTGCGCCTGCTCCAAAATATGATACCTTTATCTTTGTTTTCGAGGTCCGCATGACCACTAACCTGGGTATGAACAATTAAAACAATAAAAATTGATTCAAGAAGTATTAATTTGTAGTGTTCAATAAATAATCATTTTACAGCAGAACGGCTAGTTCATTAAATCGAAGAGATGCGTCTTTTTAAGCGCTTTATTTTGTAACGAGTCCATATTTAGAGTTGCTTGGATAAAGCACGGATATCCATTCCAATCCTCTCTGACAGCCACTTGGAATGAACGTTCTTCCTAGAAGTTAAGTGCTATATGTTCTTCAATACATCGATTGTATTAGGGTCATTTGATGTTTCATACGTAATCAAGTATCGTGGAACCAATAACAAAAACTATCATGCAAGGTATTGTTTCCCTTCATATAAGGTCTGATCCAAACTTCATCAGTGCACTCGCCCAAATTACAAAGTTAAGATATTTGATATCCGAAACACTGTCTACTAGTAGTATACATGACTTTTGCAAAAGGTTTGTATTATGTATTTTGTGAAAACACCCTCACCTACATAAATGAAAAGGGTAATCGTGCACATTCATGTTTCATAATTAAATTTCATAATTCACTTTTTCTAAAGATAATTACATGCAGATGAATGTACATGTAAATTACAAATCTTTAAATTTACCTCAATCATGAACAATGAATGAAATTATATGTAGTCTACCTTTTCAAGGACTGATATTGCCTCAGTCGGAGTTTGAATTGATTTTTAAAGCAAAAAATGTTCATACTCACAAGACAATTAAACTACCGGAGAACACATCATCTGGTATTGCTGCAATATTATTGTGATCGAGAAATCTGGTTCAGATAATGAAGAAAGGAGGATCAAGGATGTTGAAGAAAAAAAGTTTAATACACCCTCCTAAGAAACTGGACGTGTCTTATGGTTATATGTACAATTTGTAAGTCGTGTAATGTTCTCAACAATTTGGTGAGTATAATATGATTTTTGTTTGTGTGTGTGAATTTCATTTTTTCTTCACAGATTTATTTGTAGATATCTAAATTTGTTCTTGATTAATTCGTTAGTGATAATGTGTACTTTTGCACGTACTTGTTGTTTACTGATTGTGAGTATTTACCGTGAATAAACAAATACATTACAATGCAATTAATCACATTCTTGATTCTTTTAGCCATTTAACTCACAGGTTTTCCAGTGATGGTAATCCATGAAATGCTCCACTATGAACACGTATGATGTTGTTGTTCCCGATGTTCCTGCATTATCATAAAAAAACAGAATCAACGTGCATACCAATACCGCACACTCCTAAATAAATCCTCACACATATAAACCCAAATAGCGCCCACACAGACAAACAAAAGTAACACGGGAGAAGAAATAACGTTGTAGAAAATTGCACCAAATATCAATATTTATGAAGGAAGAACATTTGTTACTCGAAAAACATACACTGAATACACCAGCAATAAAACATATATAATTCTGGTGTTTACATCAATAACATCAATAATCTTTTTTCAAACGACCTCTCTCGAAGTAGCACACCAGAAGTATGATGCATTATATGTCAGGGAGGATTCGTGTTATAATGAACAAAATACGTTCGTTACGGATACTATGATTATTCTCATTATGAACAAGGTGTGAATGTTTGCTCCTACAGCTGAGGCAGAGTCTGGATCTGGAGTTCGGCCCGGAGTTCGGCAAATAAAACAGCCAGGGTAAACTATACTTTAATTGGTAAGTAATATTCTAATTTCTTGAGAATTTGACATTTGCGGGAAAAGTCATTTTACCATGTCAAATCAGTTTGTTTCAAAAAACTTGTAATTTGTGTTATTGATATCGTCATTGTTATGATTACTTAATTAGTTGGGGAGTACTCATACATATATACTGTAAAGTTTATAATGGTATCAAAAGCCATTTGGTGGGGTACAAGCTGTTGAAGCTTAAAGTATGCACGGGGTTTATTTATTACGTTCGTTTATTACGTTTTTTTCTTTTAAAATATTATATATAGCCGTTTGAGCCTGGGGCAAAAGTATCATTAGTTACACATTATCTGAATCCGTTAATTATGAGGTCAAGTTATATCGTCTGGAGTTATGATAAATTGCTCTGTTTTATTTTCGGTGTTGGTTTTTTTTGTCACAGTAAGAAGACTGTATTAATATTTTGTGTAAAAGGCTGCCACGCCATGATTTAGAATAAGTGATGGGAGGGGTTTCGAACATGACAGCATATATTATGCTTATGTGTATGAATGTGGTTGATAGTGTTGAAGGGTTGGGTGATGGTATGTGTGGTATGTTTTCCGGTTCCGATGTCTGCCTGTACTTGTTTAATTTGCAATCTAACTTGAAAGTGTTTGTTTTTCCTAGAGTTGGAAATGCATCAAGCTTCCAATCTACTGTGAAACTGTCACTACTATGTACATTTCTAAAGGTTCTTTGTTACTGGTATAGATTCATAGTTCTCGATGTCGGTTAATTTAAAATTACTCTCAGTTAATGTCAGAGGACTGAGAGATAGAGTCAAAAGAAAGAAGATTTTTCAGTGGTGCAAAATGTCGGCAAATATGATATTCTTGCAAGAAACCTTTAGCACAGAAGACATTGAATACAGTTGGAAGGGTGATTGGGAAGGCTCAATGTTTTTTAGCCACGGGAGTAACCACAGTAGGGGGGTTATTGTAATGTTTAAACCAGGTATTACTTTTGTGGTGGAAAAAACCTTAATTGACGAAGGGGGAAGATACGTCATCATTAAAGGCAAATTTCAAGGCGAAAAGCTAATATTAGGAAGCGTGTACTTTCCCACAAGGAATAAAGAAAACGCCCAATGTGGTTTTCTGTCTGATCTAAATAAAATAATTTGTTCTGTATTTAGTCAAGAATATTCCTTGATAATTGGAGGAGACTTCAATGTTATTATGAATCATAATTTGGATTACATGGGTGCAAGTAATATTTCGAAAAGCAAATATAGGGATTCATTATTAGACTTTCTAGATAAGCTTGATTTAATTGATGTGTGGCGTAAGCGTCATCCTAATAAGAAAGAATTCACTTTCAGACAGAAGCAGCCATTAGTTCAGAGTAGATTGGATTGTATTTTCATTTCTTCGAAAGTAGACAAGTTGATAAGAAAGTCTGAAATTTTGCCTTCTATTACACCTGACCATGCTGGAGTTAGAATAGAATTTAACAATTTAGTCGATAGTTTTGTTTATGGGAAATCGTATTGGAAGTTTAATAGTAGTCTATGTAATGAAAAAGATTTTGTAGATGGGGTAAAAAAGAAGATTTTTGAAATAGAGGAAACTTGGCGGAATCAAATAACGAGCAAAATTAAATTTTGGGATTTTATGAAATTGAAATTAAGAGAATATATAATGAAATTCTCCCGTGAAAGAGCAAAACTCAGAAGAGTCCACATGGAAAAATTGGAAAAAGAAATTAAAGACCTGGAATATCGATTGACGATCAATATTAATTGTCATAAAAGTATTCAGGATGAAATTGACATGAAAAAATGGAATTAGAGAAGCTTTTCGACTATTCACGTCAAGGGTTAAAAGTCCGTTCAAGGACAGAATGGTCTGAAGAAGGAGAAAAAAATTCAAAGTTTTTTTAACAATTACTAAAGTCAAATAAAAGGAAAAGTGTGATCAAGGAGATATATAATGAAAATAAGGAAACTGTGAGGGATGGCAAAGGGATTTTGAAGATTATCAGGGAGTTTTACGAGAATTTATATGCATGTAAAAATGGTGAAATTACAGAGGATATTGAAATATGTTCTTAAATGAATTACCCAAATTAAGTAAAGAAAATAAAGAGTATTGTGAAGGCAAAATAACACTGGCAGAATGCTATCAGGCAGTAAAGGAAATGAAATGGAACAAATCACCAGGCAATGACGGCTTCTCGACTGAGTTTTATTTCACGTTCTGGCCAATTTTAGGGAAAACAATAGTGGAGGCTTTTAATGAAGGTTTTGAAACAAAAATGTTATCAAACTCACAGAGACAGGGGGTAATTACACTAATTGAGAAAGAAGGCAAAGACTTTTGTACATGAAAAACTATAGGCCAATTACTCTCTTAAATGTAGATTATAAAATATTGTCGAAAGTATTAGCTACAAGGGTAAAGGAGGTATTGGAGGATATTATTCATTACGATCGGGTGGGCTATGTTAAAGATCGGAATATTGGGGAAGCGGTTCGGTTAATTGATGATACATTCTTTCAGTCCTTGTATCAGCCTGTAGGCTTTTTAATTGCCGTAGATTTTGAAAAGGCTTTCGATTGCATTTCCCATAAACTTTTATTTAAAGCTTTGGAACAGTTTGGGTTTGGTAAAGTTTTGTGTTCTTGGGTTAAAACCCTCTACACTAATGTTAGCAGTTGCGTGATGAACGGGGGAACACTCAACAGGATATTTTGGAATTAATAGAGGGGTAAGACAAGGCGACCCCCTATCTCCATATTTATTTGTAATAGTTATCGAATTACTAGCTCGTTATATTAGGAAAGATGAGAGCATTAAAGGGGTAGGATTCGGGAATAAAGAAATAAAGCAAGTTTTGTATGCAGATGATATTACATTGTTTTTAAAAGATATGGATTCAATTAATAAAGTGAAGAAAGTTTTCAAAAACTTTGAAAAAATAAGTGGATTGAAGATAAATATGGATAAGACAAATTTTATGTGGTTAGGAGAGGAAAGTGATAGGCCGGGTTTACCTTTTTTTGGACATAGGGTACAACATATAAAGATCCTAGGGGTATATTTCGCACGTCATTCCAAAATAAGAGATGATTTGAACTATAAGGAAATTTTGAGCAAAATCAAAAGATTAATCGGTTGGTGGAAGCAACGAGATTTAACGATGTTTGGCAAAATTAAATTGTTGAAGATATATGTATTTTCAAAACTAAATTATGTTTCGTCTCTTATGACAGTCCCACAAAACATTTTTGAAGAAATCGTAAAGATTTCTTTTAATTTTATTTGGGGAGGGAGAGACAGAATAAAACGGAAAATATTATATCAAGATTACTGCGCTGGGGGACTCAGAGTAACGAATTTTAAGATATTTATCAAGACTCAGAGAATAATGTGGATCAAACGGTTGCTCTATGGAGAAAAATATTCAGGTTGTAAAGTAACCTTTGACCACTTTTTCAGATCACTGGGGGGTCGAATTATATTTCTTTGTAATTATGATATAAATAAAATGGACTTGAAGGGTATACCATCTTTTTATAAAGACATGTTGAAGGCATGGCAAGAATTAGATAAATGCAGACACTTTGGAGAAAATAAGAATAATCCGATTATATTTAGCAATAAGTGTATATGTCTCAGCAATAAAACATTTTTTGATGTCGAACTATTTCAGAAAGGTATACTTCAAGCATCAGATATAATTGTCAGAGGTCATTTAAAACCGATCTTACATTTTTTAAATTTGGGTTTTGCAACTAAAAGCTTGCTTAGAATTCAAAAGATCTTTTCAGCAATCAGAAACGAATGGATACAAAGTGATTTTATGGAAGTAGACACTGACAATTTTGAAATAGAATTGATGATATTTGGACGTTTACAGAAACTATGTGATATAAAATCTAGGCGGTTATATGATTACTTCATTGAAGACCTTCAAAAAGAGTATACATTACATGTCACAGATGGCATCTGTCAATTTGATCTTGGAATGACGGAGTTGAAAGAAACATTCACAAGGATGAAAGGTGCAATGCTTTGTAATAAACATAAAGAGTTTCAATACAAACAATTACCAGGGGCTGTATATACGAAAAGAGAGCTCTTTAAATTTGGTTTTGAGTCAGACCATTTTTGTTCCTTTTGTAAACTAGAAGTAGAGACATACCAACATTTATTTTTAGATTGTCTTAAAGTTAAAAGATTATGGCAGGAGGTAATTCAAAAGTTACATTTAATCGAAATTGACATTGATGATTGGAAACCCATATTTATGGGAATATCCGGCAATACTACTAGAATATTTGTAATAAATTGTATCATATTTTTAGTAAAGTATATCATTTTTATTTCTAGAAAAGAAGGAACTTTGCCATCTGTACAGAAAACAGTACATATGCTTAAAAATTACAGAGACGAGGAATACAAAATAGCCTTCAAAAAGGGGAAACTGGGGATGCATTTTTACCTTAATGGATGTGGGTATTATGTGGGTATTATTATTATTATTAGTAGTAGTAGTATTATTAATTCTCTCTCGTGTACAGGTGGACAAACCGGAACAGGTTGCATGCAGCGTGTGTGTCGGCGTGAAGGGGGTGTGAGATGGGTGGGCTAGGGGGGGGGGGGTGAAGAGTTTGTGTGGTGTGAGTTGAGGGAACAGGTTGCATGCAGTGTGTGTTTGTGTTTGTATGGTTGTTTATGTGTGTGAAAGGGGGTGTGGTGTGGGTGGGCTAGAGGGGGGGGGGGTGTGAGAGTGTTGTGATAGGATGGTAATATGTAACTTTAAACCTTCCTCTACTGTTATTTTGATTATACACTGTTTCATGCAAGACTTTCTTCTTTTTTTTTTTCCTTTTTTTTCCCTCTATGTTCATTGATTAATGTAACTTATGAAATGTCTTGTATCAAAGATCTTGTTTTATATTGCTTATCTTGATAATTTCTTGCTATGTGAAATTATGAGGAAGGAAATAAAATATCATTTAAAACAAAAAAAATCTACACTTTAAACCTTCCTCTACTGTTATTTTGATTATACACTGTTACATGCAAGAATTTTTTCCCCTTTTTTTTCCTTTTTTTCTTTGTTCATTGATTGATGTAACTCATGAAGTGTCTTGTATCAAAGATCTTGTTTTATATTGCTTAATTTGATAATTTCTTGTTATGTGAATTTCTTGTTATGTGAAATTATGAGGAAGGAAATAAAATATCATTTAAAACAAAAATATTGGATCGTCTACAATTACTCGTCTTAAAAACAGACCTAAAGTACTTACAAAGTTTTCAGTCTCGGCATATTGGTAAGAATCTTTGGAGGAATTGAGTGGATACGATTGAATGACAAATCCCTGTTTTTAAAAGATCAATATTTTGAAGACCAAAATTAGAATCTGATTATATTATTCATACATCAACAGGTGAGGTAATTACCTGGAAGGAATTGATTCCTGAAAAAAAAATGGCTAAAGGCAATAACATGCTTTCTTAATAGCAGTCGAACAAAAATGAGCTATACAGGGTTTGAATTAATTTCTAATCGAGGAATGTATTCAGTTTAGTGACTGCTATTGAGAAGCTTCTTTTTTAATGTTTGGTCGTGTGTTTGTCCTTTGGAGGCAGCGTACGGTATCGGTAAAATTCGAAGGTTGCATAGTGGTGATGCACGAATATAATAAGTGTTGCGGTTACGATTTTCAGATCGTCACCCCAACAATTAACTTCAGTTATTCTGAGAAATGTTATTGTATTCTTGCCCTTTAATCTCCAACATTCCACACCAAAGTTTAACGTGAGAGAGGTATAAAGCAATATATTTTAGCGTCTTTCGGATGGTGACGTTAAAGGTCGGTCCCCAGACGTAAATAATCATATCTGATTGATACACGTCTGTAAGAACCTAATTACACACACACACACACACACGCACGCACGCACACACATACACGCACGAAGACACGCGCACACACTCACACACATACACACACACACACACACGTACACGCGCGCAGACGAGATACAGTATCTCAGAACGATGTGGGGGAAACGCCATTTTCTTTATAAGGTGACGTATTATGCAAAATCGTTTATACAACATATTTAAATTAAAGGATGGATTCCTTCCCAGGTGAGTGTGGTAATGAAGTATTTCATACATCTTCTATTATCCTTCGTTCTACAATTGCCAGAACGAAAATTGACATAAATAAGTTGGTGCTATTCTGAGGTGAAGGTTTCGAATAAATGAAATACTCAAACGTTTATTTTAGTATTTAAAAAAAAAGGATTTCATAGAATACTTTGCACAAATATATATTTTTTACCTTCTCAGCTATGAATTCCCCTCATTGAAAAGTAAAGGTTTAGTTGTTTATTTGAATAGTTCTTTAAATTAAATCTTGGTGCACGATACATAAACAAGTTCTCCAGGTACGTCACATTATCAAGAAAATGGCTGTGCCGATGTCATACTAAAAGGCGTTACATCATGCCAAGAATATCTTTATTTATATACAGTGTATTCCTAGTACACTTTCGTAGGGAATTTGGGGTGAAGATTCGTTTATGGCTTTTCACATAGTTCGATAAATTACAATATAGAGAAGATTGGGGGTTCATAAGGAGGACATTCTTCGGGTCGATCAAACTCATCTCCTACCGGGTCAGCAATGGACTAGTTTTTCTTGTCAGTCTTTACATACTTACAACAATTCAAGATTGTGTAGCCCATCGAAGGCTCCCTCTGGGATGTGCTCAATCGCGTTGTTAACAAGTAACCTGGTGTTAGTAATCACATTAAACAACGCATTGGATATGTGAGAAAATATAAAATGTACCGATCACAGACAAGTATGTTATCGTATATCTTAGGGGTTCCATATCTATATACTAAATCCAAAATATGAGCTTTACATATTGCTTATGTAATGAGATACTATAAGTTCAAATTTAGTGCCCATGAATCAAGGGTGTCGATTTGTATCCGTGGTTGGGGGGGATGATAGGTGCCAAAATATTTTCGGCAAAGGATCAAAGCAACCAAGGGGTAGAGGCGTGTGGCAGGTTGCACCAACTCTCCTAGCGCGTGGCCAGGATTTCATTATAGGGGGGGGGGGGGCGGTAGTGAGCACGCAAAGCGTGCGAATCACTTACAGTGCCCGCGCTCCCTAGAGGGTTGGGTGCAGGAGTGAGGCGTGTCCCCCCTCCCCCACGAAGCGCGGAAGCTTTGAGGTTTCATTAAATTATAAGAGAAAGAAGACGATTCGTTTCACCGTTCTCGACTCTTAATTCTTGTTTGAATCAAGTTCCCCTTCCTCCGCGCGTAGCTTTGAGGTTTCATTAAATTATAAGAGAAAGAAGACGATTCGTTGCACCGTTCTCGACTCTTAATTCTTGTTTGAATCAAGTTCCCCTTCCTCCGCGCGTAGCGCGGAAGCTCTGACGTTTCATTAGATTATTAAAGAAAGAAAACGATTCGATGTACCATTCTCGACTCTTAAAACCTGTTTGAATCAAGTTCCCCTTTCTCCGCGCGTAGCGCGGAAGCTATGACGTTTCATTAGATTATTAAAGAAAGAAGACGATTCGATGAACCATTCTCGACTCTTAATCCTTGTTTGAATTAAGTTCCCTTTCCTCCGCGCGTAGCGCCGAAGCTTTCACATTTCATTAAATTATTAGAGAAGGTATATGATTCTTTGTATCGTTTCCTTGTCTGAATTCAGTTTCCCCCCTCCTGCGCGAAGCGCGGAACCTTTGACGTTTCATTTGATTATTACTCTTAATCCACGTCTGAATTCAATTTCGCCCATCCCGCGCGTAGCGCAGAAGCTTTCACGTTTCATTAAATTATTATAAAAAGAAGACGATTCGTTCTATCGTGTACTTTGACGTTTCATTTAAATAACTCTTAATCCTAGTCTGAATTTAGTTGCCCCCCTCCCGCGCAAAGCGGGGAAGCCTTGCCATTTCACTTAATTATTAGAAAAAGAAGACGATTCGTTGTACTGTTCTTTATATTAATCCTTGTCTGAATTCAGTTGTGACATAATAATAATCTTTCACCCCTAAACGAAAAAAATGTTTTAGGGAATATCAGGAAATGAAATGAGTGAGAAAAAAAATGAAAAGAAAGATACAATGACGTGAATTTTAAAAAGGGTGAACGGAAACAACACAACAACTAGTGAACTATCTTTCTCCTTGTCTCCGATCTCATCACGAATCCGTCACAGAGTTCATCTATGTTAACACTGTCCAGGATTGTCTGATGTGCATTGCAGATTGCTACTTTTGCGCTTCACGCTTAACATTTAGCTCATTGCTTTTTGACGCTACGTCTTTGCATTTGGCGCACTGCATTTATATGATGCTGTTGATTGGACAAATTGAATAAATTCATAAATTCCTGAGCCGTTCTCATTTACTTCGTATATATGTATGCATTATGAAAATGAGATAGCAAAATGTGTATATTGATGGTCATTTTGCGAGTAATAACCATTAACTACTCTCATCGGGCTCTCATCATTACTTTTTCTCTTCATTTTTTTTTTTAATGGTGAATTATGGGGGGGGGATGATTGTACAGGCCATCCCCCCACCTGAAATATTGGGGGGATATATCCCCCCCCCCACCCCCCCCCCCCCCCCCCCCCTGGGATCGACACCCATGCCATGAATGTAAAAACTGCTAGTTAAGTAGACTAGTCGACGCACATGTACGTGCTTGCATAGAATAGGGCGTACACGGAACCCGGTTTTTTTTTATAATGTGCCATATATTTTTGTTTTACTCCTGTACCGTCAACGAATACAATATCGTGTATAGGATTACAAACTTACAAGAATTCCAAGCTTTCCATTCCAGAGAAGGTTTGCTGTTCCAATGACGAGATGCCTTGACTCAAGAGAGAGCTGTATCAACATTAATACAAAGTGCATTTTATTTTTTATATCCCTCCACTGCAAAAATCTAATTGATATTGCATTATTTACGTCCGATTTTTACAAAAATGAATCATGAATTATATCCGAATATGACGTATTCCTAATCATGCGGGGAAAAGAAATGTCAATAATAATTTAAATGAGACTGTTAAACCTCCTTCAGATATGCCTTTGCAAAACGTGGCAATTAACAAAAAACAATAACTAAGTGTAATGCGCTGTTTTGTGTGTACACGGAGCTCGGTAGATACGCGTTGGAGGTTTGGCGCGCGCAGTTATTCATTTCTCTTCTCTAAAGCTAAAGCTAACTGCATGATCGTCCGGCGATCTGAATTTCGAGGAAATTGGATTGGATTTGAAAGGGAATTTTTAGAGAATTTAAGATAATGAGAAGAATACTAACAACCGGAATCTAGGGGAATTAAACTCTTCTAGTCCTGACAAAAGCCGAATCCGCTTCAATTCGTAGACAATTTCACTACTGGTCTGACATCACTATAATTCTGAGACGATTTAGCCTTTACTCTTCCAAGGAAGCATGAAATCCGTTGATATTTAGATCTTATTCAAATCCTCGGTCTTTAAGATTTTACATTTTTGTATGTTTGTATCAATTTTTTTTTCCAAAATCGGATCGTATTCATGTCGTATAGTATGCGGTGGGTTCTAGGCAGAAATTAACGTCCAGACAGAAATTAAGCTCTCTTAGACAAATGTTGATACCATCGATATAAGAACATCAATTTAATGCATACTAAACTCACATAATTTTTTGTTCCTTCTGGCACTGTAATATTTGTCCAAAGAATGGACCAAACAGTTCAATCTCTGTCGATGCCCTTGAAAAGAAAAATAGGAACTAGAAGCTGCTTTGCGAGTGTTTTAAAAGCTAATACATATATATCATACATGGATAAATGAATGAATATATAATTACTGTGATAAATCCATTGGATGAAAGAAATCAATTCTCTCAGCTATCTGGCAACCATAGCTCAGTGCATTCAAGGAATACATCCTACAGACTGTGTTTTTTTAGGTACACCTCACCGTTTCGTATAGTGATTTCGGCATAGTGTTGTTTCATTTAATTAATCAACTTTAATTAATAAGGCATCACAAAAAACGTTGATATTACTGAACCTGAATAAATATCAGCATAAAGGACTTCACTATTAGTCATGCTATCGTAAGTTACGATTATACTTACAGACATTTCAAGGCCGATACTGTAGGCATGGGATCCGCTACTTCATACTGAACACATGTACCTAATAACAAATCGAACACAGATGCAAGGTATAAGAATTTGATATTGAATCGAATGAAGCCTACCAAGCTTTAAAAAACTAATCTGGTAACATTTTTCCTATCCCTAAAGGTCTATTTGATATTATAAATTACTTTTCTGTATTCTCTTGTCCTTTTAAATACCAATATGTCACATAAAAATCAAAACCAAAGAATTAGGAGGAAAACAAGATACTTTTTCTTACCCAACTCCGAGTCGTTAGTCCTCTGTAGGAGAGAGTGGCAGTCACCTTCTTGACAAACAAATACAGGTGAAAAAGGGATTTGTTTAATAGAACTTAATAAAAAAAAAAAGTTTCGTTATTTCGACATCAAATCAACATTCAAAGTTATATAAGGTCATTTATTTTCAGATTAATTGAAAAGACGCATCAAAATAAAAATCAATACTGTAATAGTATTTCTTTCGGTTACGTTACGAACTTTTACAAATTGATATTTAGATTTAATTCTTAGATATTTGGAATTTCATCCGTTAAATAAATACGGAAACGTTTGAAGTTTTAACGTTTCCCCATACCTTGCGAATTCATTCCAAAGTTACACCAAAGTGTTAAACAGACGTTTCCTGCAACGAAGGATAAAAAGATAGTAGTTTGGTCAGTAACTGTTGATTGTGACGTAATGCGCGTGATGCTTTTGCGGTGTTTCAGCAATACCGCTTCAACAGTAGACGATGCACCAGAGGATGCAATCCTTCAAATCGAATCTTATGAATTGCCTTTCATTGCCGAAAAAAAAGAGATAGAAGAAATATATATGTTACAGTTCGTTCCTCTAGTAGGTGATGATTATTGTTCTAATTATTACTTTGCCCCCAAACTAGAGGCAAAATGTAACTATATAGTTCATCCATTGTGAAGAAGTTTGCATAAAAAAGGACAGCACTTTTGTTCAAGTCTTTTCTGGTTTACCTGCCCCCTAATTCTTCAAAGTTTTTTTTATTCTATACTGCTAAACACGCATACCTGCATTTTGGAAGCAATGAATCTGTTACGTTCTCATGTATGTGAGCTAAGATAAGTAGAAGAGGCTACCCTATTTTCACAGCGTATTATACTAACTTGTTAGCAAATATCCCCAGTGAAAAGCTAGCTGCGGGTGTTCACTGCCCCTAGCGAGGTAGATACATTCAGGGATGGACATAATTTATACATACCTCCTGAGCATATCACTCTGGCATCTCCAGAATCATCGCAGCTACCTTCACAAGCAATACCCACTCCAGAGCAATCAAAAAACGAAGACTCATTGCCAGAGCAATGTACACAGTCAAGAGCAACTTCATTCCAACTGCCATCTGATATGTCAGAGTTAGGAATCTTTACCGCTTGTCCCAGTTCAAGACTTCTGCAGACAACGTGAGCGTCGGCCATGTCCCAGGAGTCATGGCACACAGATCTCTGTAGGCCGTTGTAGTAGTACGTGACTACACCATCCAAGAAGCTGGTTCCATCAGCCAGATAGATGTTTTCGTCTGTAAGTTTAACAGATGAACGAAAAACACTGATGTAAACGATGTTACTTTATAAAAATGAATCAACAGAATGGGATTACCTTTTTGGGCGCGTACGTACCATAAAACATACAGTTGACATTTTGTTAATATATATATATATATATATATATATATATACCTTTCAGACACTAATATCGTTGTGGGCTGACTATTTTCCTTACTATTGAATCAAATCATCAAACAAGAATGAACCAATTACCTTCAGAAGAGCATAAAACACCAGCACCATCGAAAAGGCAGAAGTCTATTATTCCAAACTGTGCATTAGGACAGTTAAGGATATTTGTTTCCCGCCCAGTGCAACGGGCATCCTCAAGATATACATTGCCTGAACCCCAGCCGAAATCTATCTCAGTAAAAGCTGTTAGTGCACCGGCGAAACCTAAACTCTTGCATACGACATGCGCATCATTTAAGGTCCAAGATCCGGCACAAACAGTCCCCCAGGTTGATTTGGAGAAAAATTCCACTCTTCCTTCACTGCTATTTCTGCCACCGACCAGACGAACTAGGATGAGAACAAGAAATCGGTTTTCTTTATTCTTAATGGTATATTGGTTAACAAAATGGAACTGTTTCTGATATTTGAATCCACATTTTTTGTTATATAGGCTTTTTAATTTTAAGCGCATAAAGAACATGAAATGAATATGAAAATAAATATAAAACGTGCCATTTATATTGATGACAATCAACAAAAAAGAAACAAATTGTAATCCGAAAGTCTTGAGAAAGACGTCCCCACCATATAAATTACTCCCACTCGTATCGTACTAGTTTATTTTGTTACTAGTTACTATTTATTGTGAAGAGAAAAAAATGGTCCAGCAAGATTTACCAGACCGAAAATAATAACATCTACAATGACTACGACCAACGATGTCTGTTGACAATAGTAAGTGCTCTTTACATATCAGAAAATGATCTTTAAGAAAATTGGGATTCGTTAAAATGATTTTACCTCATTTCCCTTTGAATTTCTTCACAAGTCGTTTAATTGGTGGGTTGCATTTGTTACATAATATAACTCAGTCATACCGGCAGACCGACAACTGACTGGAAACTAACAGATTGTTTTACTATTCAGTGTCATTTAATAGATCATATTTGTTCGGTCTGTTTAGGTAATCTTTGTTGTGACAAACTGGTAAAAAGCGGAATATTAGACCCCTCTTTGTTTGGTTCATAGCACATCACGTGATATCGATTGCTTGGAACACAATTAGAATATTTCACTCCCGGTCATTTTTCGATTATTATAATTATATTTTGTTGACGTGGTCAAGTGAGTACAACCCTGCACAAGATCAGTTACTCACTGTTCGTAATGTGTTAGTTATATATTTTCCCTTATCATAACATTACCATAACATCCTTCGGCGGACCAATGAGTGCTAACTTTACACGCCTTACCAACGTATAACATTCTTTGCCAGTATTACAGCCGAGGAACGACAACTCACCTCCATCTGAGCATCGAACTCTGGCGCTGCGGGTAGAGTTACATTTGCCAATGCTGAAAGTGGATCCTAGACAGTCCAATATCCTAGACTCACTTCCATTACATCTCACACCATTCAAAATGTAACCTCCCATTTCCTTAGAAGAAATGAAATCATGGTCGACGTCTAGTGCTGTACCAAGTCCCAGTTCTCTGCAAGCAACGTGTCCATCGCTGAGATCCCAATGGTCACTGCAAACTGGTCTCCAGGATCCTAGGTAGAATACTTCTACCCTGCCTCCACCGGGAAAGTGGGCTCCTGTCAAGCGAACTTTAAAACAGATATAAATCATTGTCAGGAAAGATTTAAATAGCCTAATATGATTTTCATTTTTCAGAGGCCAAACCTCTTGTATGATATTCCAATTGGTCATGCCCTAGTCATACCCCAAAATCCACTTTAAATCGATTGACATCATTCTTGGAGTAATGTAATTTTTGCTCGAGCTATTATTGGTCTTGTATGAGGCCCTTCTGGCTGATTAGGGCATTCACTTTGGAAGCTTAAAAGTGCCGACGAGATGATGGATAACTTAGGAAAAGAAGACGAGAAGACGAGCTGTTTGAATTCGGCAATTTCACTTGTTTAGCACGAGAAGACCATCATCAGTTCAGATATTTCTAAAGGTCTTGTTGAATCATCTTTTCATCTTTAAGTTTGCATAAAGTAATCTGTATTTTCCACTTTTTCATAGCTTAAGAAATGAAAAAATGTGAATGAGAATTACAAAAAGATAAACCAGAGAATGCCAATCGATATACAAAAATATTGATCATGAGTTCAACTGGTGAGCACTTTTTGCTCATGTACAAATTGTAATTTAGAGCATTCTGGATCAAAAATATAAACCAAACGTCACTTAAAGATAATACTCAACTGCTGTGAGAAGAATTAGCAACTGTCATCTCGTCCTAAACAAATTGACTTTTAAGCTTCCGTAATTTAACAAGTTTATTAACACCGGGATTCCAGGTAGAATGAATTAATGAATCACTTAATTTATTTAATGAATATCCTTCTGCAATAAAGAGGATGATTCTTATCTCTTTCATGACGGAGGAAACCGTGTAAAGATTACGCAACATGGATAAACAAATTGTCTTACTTGTATAGTTTGTGCAAAAAGCGTAAGCTTTCGCTGGTGCCCAACAGTCTCCCCCTTCATCGACATCACTACTCGGACAATCTAAAATAGACGTCTCGTTCCCAACACATCGGACATCATACAGAATATTGTCAGGATGGGGTTTATAGCTTCCGTGGTCGGTAAGCACTGCTCCACTGAACCCAAGTTCGAAGCACGTTACCTCAGAGTCTGCTCGACCCCAGGCCACGTTGCAGATGGTTCCCCAGGTTCCGTTGATGTAGACAAGAACGAATCCTTCAGAGACCAGGTCCTTGTCGTAACGGTCAACAAGACGGACATTCCTTTCTGCAGCAAAAAAATGAAAAGACTTTGATGAAACAAGTCAAGAAAGTGATGAAGGAAGCTTTCCATATCTAGTTCCTAATAATAAGGATCATGAGCTTTCATTTTTTTTTTTTATTATAACAATGTCGACCAGCACCATTAGTTAAAATTATGAGATAAAAACTTACCAACAGTCACATTTCCATTAGATGAAATCGCCTTTACTCTGTGTCTACCAAGACAAAGCAGTATTGTTGCGCAAAAGAATAAACATGAGATAGTCTTACGAAGATTCATGATCATTTTTTAATAGTCATTTCCAACTTCCAAACTGTCTTAGAAGGGAACGAATGAAGATCGTTTATATATAATCTTGGCTGTGGATTCGTGACAGTACGCTGAGTGGGACGTATTTATACCGTTTTCGCTTTTTCATAACAATGCTGTTTCACAACAAAATTAAGTCATCCGTCAAATGACAGTTTTGACGTGAGCACTATTAAGAAGCTTAGTATAAGGGCCAATAAAGATTTTACTTAATAACCCGCTAAAAAGGTGTGCTATAAAGCGTATTCAACAAAAGAGATGGCGCAAAGAACGGAGTCGTCGTGATGTTGAAGCTATTCATCAACGTCAATTACGTATCCTAGATACCTTGTCGATGGATTAAAGATTATAAATTAAGATTGATGTAACTTGTTAACTTTAGTTTTTAAGGCACCCACACAGAAATGGGAAGGGGGGATATTAGTGGTATGGCGGTACGGTCAGCTCTTTGCCTTCTCTAGAAACGGACTTTGATGGACGTCGGTTCGAAACTGGCTCGCGCATTTTGATGGTTCCCTAGACATTTCGATTTGATAGATGCAAATCTGTGAAATGCCATTAACTCCGCACACCCCCCCCCCACACACACACACACAAGGACACAAAAACACACACTGGTTTCTAAGAAGATAACAAATGAAGAGACGAAATTATTATGAGGAGTTGAATAATGCAGAACAGACTACAAGAAAAGAGCGAGAGAAAAAAGAAAAAAGAAAGAAGATTCAAATCAAGAGAAGAAACAAGAGAAAAAACAGATAGATGAAAAAGGAACAACGGCTATGGTTAATACAATGGGAAGAGGAGAGTGAAAGCGTCAGAAAAGAGACCGGAGGTTGTATGTCACTAACTCACTTGCGATTGTCATATTCTGTTTGGTTTGTTAATTTCGCATATGAGTAACTAAACCCGCTGTATTTTAACGGATTATGCAATTAACATTAAAAGCAGGTTGAAGTTTGTAAAGGCTTTTTAGATGCGAGTGAAGGACAGGATATTTGAATTAAAATGATTGGAGATTGTCAGGTTCTATTTAGTGCAAATAATGTGTTAATATAAACATTCAGTCAATGTATAATTGGATAAATTGTTATATTGCTAAAAACAATACAGTCATATTTCATAGAAAAAACTCATTTGCTCTATTTTAACAAATCATACGATTAAAATTTAAAATAAATTGTGTCATCCCTTATTTGAATTAACTAGAGAAGGAAATATTGGAACTAGAGCAACAGGGAAGTCGTGATGTTACGTTTAGTTTGTCAAAATAGTACATGAATAAGTAAACTAAGTCGCTGTATACTAAGATAATATGATATTGACATTAAAAATTGTGTTCGGTTGGGTAAACACTTGTTGCATGAAGCAAATAAAGTGACGAATGTGAAACAGCGAGATCGAAACAGCGAGATGCGAGATTGACATGTTCTAATAAGTTTGTTGCTACAATATTTGAATGATTAAACTCCCTCGTTGTGAATTGGTGCGTTGCATTAAACGCCCAATGGGTTTGCTAAATTACTGTTTGAAGAATTTAAAGCAACGAAACCTGAAATAAAAGAAAGAAAGAAAAAGTATAACCAATGGGAGTGCTAGAATCAGACCGTGCTTAATTGGGATTGAAGACATTTTCACCAAACGTTAACCCAATTCGTGCGTCAGGATCGTGAGAAATCAACAGAAATTACGCTTATATTAGGACAGTTTATTTGCATTTTGTCATGCTAAGTAGTTTTTTCTGCTACACAAAACACACCCATTAAAAAAGTATATAATGGACTTTTTGACGCGAGCTTTTCAAAGTGTAATTTTTTTTATTCTGATTCTCGATGTCTATAAAAATCACCTTTCTGTTGGCTGAAGTTGAACAAAAATAGATAAAGTAATCGACAAACTAATACACAAGATAATTTAAGTACGCACACAAGGATAGACCAAAATTAGGTGAAACTTGGAACAAGGAAAAGGTAAAGAGATACAGTATATATTAATGTTTGAAATTTATAAAAACGAAAAAAAAGAAAGTTGTAGTAATCCTGCGAATAGTATGACTTTGTCGGCATATAAACATGTATATGTATATATCTAAAAATATATATAGAGAGAGAGGGGAGAGAAAGGGGAGAGAGAGAGAGAGAGAGGTGGAAATGTAGTCTAGAATAATTTAGATAAGGCGGGTATTTTTCTATTTATCAGTCTATTATACTATTCCCAGTCAAAATAAAGATTTGTCACATCATGATCCACGTTTCTGGTAGTCAATAACAATAGCATGTCAAGTCGTTTCCAAGGAAAAATAAACCTGGCCCCCCCCCCCCCCCAAAAAAAAGACTGTAATATAGTTTGAGATTTTTTTTTTCTCTGAACCAAATTTATAGTTCAGCGCAGGCGCGTATGCAGGGGGGGGGGGGTCGGGGTTAAACCCCCCCCCCCCGTGTGTATGTTTTTGTGAACCCCCCCCCCCTTTTGAGGTTTTTTTGTTTTATTATTATTAAAAAAAAATTATGCCAATGGCTGTCCTAAAAAAGGTGACCTTACCCCCCCCCCCACCCCCCTCCCCCACTGAGCGACTTTTCACATTTTCGGGAGCAAAATAATAAAGCTGAGTCGTTGCAAAATTTTGGGCCCGATTTTAACCACCCCCCCCCCCCCCTTGAAAAAATCCTGCGTACGCCACTGCTTTAGCAAGTAATATCGAGCGCAATGCTCCCGTGAAAATGTCCCTGTATAAAACTCTCGGGGCTGTTTCTGCACATACCAATAATTACATTTTTGTCCCCTTCAGCTTAAGATTTGCCACATTACACTTCTATCTGTTTGTCCATCTGCAATTTGGTGTTCTGTCACAGCCAAAGGTCCGTGATACCCGAGGAAATGTAAATTTCTCTATCTTTTTCTCTATTCTCACTTGTTCTCCTTCTCTCCACATATTTTTTCTTTAACTGACGTTTTCACTTCCGTTCCTCTCTCTGATACACATACACAAAATGTCTTTTGATCCAGGATTCTAGGAATTATACACTGTACAGAAACAGAAAGAGCAAAAAATCACAGAAATTTTTGGACCTTTTCTAATGCAGAAAATTGTGACATTCAGGTATAAGAACGATTTAATTACGTGATCAATGCAGTCTCTAAATTGGCAATGCGTCGTGAAATTTATAATCACTATTTTGTGCTCAATTTGCAATTTTTGGTTGAATTAAGTGATTTACATTTACTGCAGTTTCAAATCCATTTTAATTTTTTGAAACAATGTAAGATTAGTTCATAAAAATAACTGGAACAAATTTGAGAATGAAAAGTCATTTATTTAGACCTTAAAAATACTGTGAACTGCTATGATTTAATTATTTTTAATTCCCAGTAGTGATCGCAGTGTATCTTGCACATACTGCTATTTTTTTTAATGAAAGGGGCTTACAAAACTAGGTTATTTTAAAGATTGGATATATTTACTTGATTTTTCCTTTTTACAACAAATGATTAATAAATGATCATCATTATAGGAACAGAAAAAACGTACTGAAAAATTATTTGGTTGCAATTCATATTTTTTATGTACACTATTTTTCACAATGCCACAAAGAATGTTTTTACCATAAAAAGTATAGCAGTTAAAAATACGGACAATTTAACAAAAAATTATAAAGGGTTGTTAACAATATACATATTATAATTGACATTTTCAAAAGCGTACATGTTTTCGTTTGTTTCCTTATACACCAGTTTTTTTAAATTGTACATTGAATAAATAAAGGTGATTTGAAATATTCAGGGCTTTAAAGCTTTCATATCAATCATTAAAGAAGCATAATCATTCATATATACGGTACACATTCCAAAATATACAAACGAAAAACAGGGTATCACTTTCCCTTTCATTTATGGAAATATAAAATGCATATCATAGTTTACCATAATAGTTGTCCCATGGATAATATATGATTAGAAGTCTTAATACATTTATTCGGTATCAAGAAATATAACAGCACGATAATCGGAAATGCGCTTCTAGACTTTATTCAACACTTGCTATAACAATAATTTAGCACAAGGATACAATAACAAAACAAACAAAACAATGTCTTAATCGACATGACATAAAACTGGCAATTAGGACAGGTATTTTGTATCTCCTGTTTACCATTATTGTGTTTCTTGTCCTTAGCTAAATCAAGTTTTGAGTGTAATGACTTTTTGAAACATTCCATAATGTCCATTACGATAATGACCACAGGGAATATGATCAAATACATTTATAAAGAATCTATTATTCTTTTTTCCCCTCCATTCACCGTCAGTACTTCAAAATGCGTCATTACCGTGGTCAATATCCTAACTTCATTTTAAAGATGACCACCATTGTTGAGTTCGGTCAAGGAGGTGTCATTTACACTCGCTCTTTTTGCTGTCATACCATCCACTTTCGGTTTTGTTCTGACTTGTTCAGCCTTTTTCTTGTTTTCAATATAATTAACGAACGTGTACAGTACAGGATTAATTGATGAGTTTATAGGGATGATGAATATCACACTCCAAGCATACAGGGATGTCGGTAGGACAACCAGACCGGATTGAGTAAGAATACCCATAACTATGATGGGCATCCAGCAGGCGAAATCAGTTCCAACGATAAACGCCATTTTTCTAGCAACTTTGATTTCTCGATTACGTAAAGCAGCATTCGCTACAGATTGGGTTGATCTCTTTACCTGTATGAACATCATTATATAGCATATTAATATAATAATGAATAGAATCATGTTAACATTGATAAATGTTGCAACGGCATAGAGCCAGGATGGACGAAAAGTGCTCTCGACAACTACATACTCAATTAAGAATCCACTACTAAATAAGTTCTCTGTAAACTCAGGCCTTCCTATCTCTTCAGACTCGGCGTGTAGTGGCAAACCAACGCAAACATCGGAAAGTCCGTAAAACCCGGGCAAATCCGATGGAACCAAATTGGGTATGACACTGAGTATGCACATGACTAACCATAATAACATCATGATAATTCTGGCTGATTTCACAGTCAAACGATACCCACTGAAAGGAAATATAATACAGACGAATCGATCTAACGTCATTAATGCCAATGTAAAAACAGAACATTCGCTGGATAGAAAAGCGAGGAAACTCGAAAATTTGCACAAAAGCGATTCACGCCAAATTGGTGCACTCAAGAAATAAACACTGCCGAAATAGATATCTGCTGGTGTGATGATTATCGTATAGATACCCGTGAGACAGTCTGCCACGGCTAAGTTCATGATTAAGAGAGTTTGGACGGTGAGCTGCTGCTCCTGGCGAATACGTAGTATCAGGACAGTCAGGTTGCCGACGAGAGATGTAAGTCCTATGACCCAGCCGGCGATCATTAAGACAACGTTTGGATAAAGCCTGCCACAGGTTTCCAGAGGACTTGTAGAAGAAGTCCTAGCGCAAGTGACGTTTTCTCTTTGATCAAGAAGACAGCACAGCCTGTTACCAGACGTGGATCTGAAAGAGAAGCGAAGATGTATTTTTAAAGAGGCTATTTCCTTTTAATTGTGCTAAATATCTAATTTCATTGTTAATTATCTACTAGTAAAAGGAATCAGCTATCGATTCTAAAAGACCTAAATAGCAAATGTCTATTAAAGAGAACCTGACGTCTTACCAGGCATTACTAAATGTTTGGTTTTGACCAAAGTGAGCTACTCAATACATCATCACATCGGCGATGCGTTGCATCTATGATCTATGAATACAAATATACTTACATGGCTTTCAAAGATGTTAGGCAAGTCAGTGGGTTTCCTGGATCGATTGTAGTTGTAAATCCAGTAGGAAACTGTTCACGATCAGGCAAATTAATTGTTAAAAAGTTTAATCTATTTAAAGATTAAATTCAATATTTTATATTTTCATCATAAGTTATGCTGTTTATATATAAAATGTGAACGTTTGACGCCAGAGTAATATTTCAACAAACTTAAATAGTAATTTGAGGAATAGTTTGAATGATGCGCGTAAATACAATATCTAATATACTGAATGTGCATACATATAAATACATGTCATACGGTTCGTTCGTTCGTTCGTGTCTCCTTAGATCAACATTAATGTATCTTGATCTTCGGAGTACTTGCTACTACCGGCCGTGTCAGACACGTAAAGTTACCTCACGTCATATCATTATTCTTGTACTTACATATACACCAGACTTATGGTGTTAACGAATACGCCAGGATCGATGCGAGTGATTGGATTGATGCTCAAATCACTTTGGATGAAAAAAATATTCATTGAAATATGATTTAAAGATTTGTTTCTGTATCTCAAATGATATCATATTGATTGCTTTTAATTTTAACGATAACAAAATATTGTTTTACTACAATATTATTATTTCAACTCTAACAATTCGATTCAGTGTTCAAAACAAAGGCATTTACCATACACCAAAAGATCTGTAAGGTATTTTGAGATGAAATTTAGATATATAACTCATTTTTCTGACCCCAGATATAATGTTATCGGGTTGATTTATAATTATAAAAATATTAATTATACCAAACAATAGTCTTCAAATTCAATAACAAATTAAATCAATTATTTGCCATTTATTCATTCACTTGTCCATGAACGCTACACATTTCCGTCTTAAATCTACCCACTGATATCCCGTCATTTAAAGGTCATTAAAGGAGAACTTACCCTAATGAATAGGTGTCGGTATCCTGAAAAACGAGATGAATTCCTTACGAATAAATCTTACGAACGTGTACAAGATAAATATAAAATGGAGATTTCTTGACATGGAGTAATGCCTTTTAGCATGACATGGACGCAGCTATTTTCTTGAAGATGTGACGTACCAGGCGGAGTTGTACATGTATCATGCACCAAATTTTAATTGGAAAGATTTTTTAATTCAATAACATAACCTTCACTTTTCAACAAGTGAAGTCAAAGCCGAGTAGGCAAACAAATACATGAGGTGAAAAATATATAAACAGGGTTACAATTTTTACCCATTTATTTAAAAATACAAAAATATAGCGGTTGAAAAATCATTTCATTTATGAGAACCTTTACCCAAGAACAGTACCGACTTATTTATGCAATTTGCTTTCTGGCAATCGAAGTGCAAAGGATAATAGCAGGTGAATTAAAATGCTTCAACCCCATAAACACCTGGGAAGGAAGCATCCGAAATTTTGGATACATTTATTTAATATACGACCCGGAGTCCGCATGGTACGTTGTGCAATCAAGAAAATGGCGATGCCAATGTCTTGCTGAAAAATTGTAATTTATTTATTCTTGCTTCATGTCCTTCTCATACACTTTGGTGGGGAATCTTGTAGATTGATGGGTAAGAATGCAATACATCTCTCAGAACAACTCAAGTTATTCTTTGGGGTTGGTTCTCCTTTAAATTGTCAAACAAAAAGAAATAAAATAAGAAAAAGGCGCTGAAATTTAAACGTTCAAAACTCGCAACTTACATAATTAAGAGGTTAATTTGGTCGTGGAAGTCACTTCTAGCTATGTGTTTGATGTCATTGCTGGAGAAGTTCCTAAAATATGAATAAGACAAGTCTGTTATTTTACAGTCAGTGGCGTGTCAGGGTGGATTATGTTATGGATCATTCACCAACAAACCAAGACAATGACAAAGAGGCCTTAACATAATTCATGTTTACTGCCGAGGTTAAAGTATAAGGACCATCTGTAGTAAAAAGTAGTAGTAGTAGTAATAGAAGTAGTAGAATTAGTAACAATAGCCTTCAATTACTTTCGATATTGTTCATCATTTTCTTTAATCGTTACGAGTTTTAGTGTTCAGTTTTTCTTTTTCTGGCAAATAATCTAAGCAGGAATCTCTCACAATACAGTTATAACTTTAGTATTGATTACGCTATACAGTGCGTCCCAGAAAAAACGAAACCGAGAAGTATCGATGTTTTATCATAACTTAATCACAACCATAATTAATGAATGATACATATTTGGAAAGCTTAGAGTCTCGTCTTTCAGTTGATGCTACTCACGTGATGCATATTTTACGCATGAGTGATTAAAAGCAATTTGAAGGAAGGAAAGTAAAAAGTAATTTGGCGGGCGGTATCTGAATTTCAAAGAGAAATTCATATTTCTAGAAAGTTCATTTTCTGCTCTTTCATATGATACCTCAAGCGAGGAATAACAAAGTTCTGTTTGTTTAAAGTAGCCCTTACATTTTCATAATTTTAACAAACGAATTCGTTTACACTGGGTGCCTGCCGTAGCAAAAAGCAGATTTGACAAAAGACTTAACTCCGTTTCGTTGACAATCAGCCATGCATGACGACTCTCGTCTACGGCTGATTGTCAACGAAACGGAGTTAAGTCTTTTGTTAATTTCGTTTATTGATACGGCAGGCAGCCAGTGAAAACGAATTCGTTTAATAAAATTATGGAAATGCAAACACTTCTTTAAACAAAGAGAACTTTGTCATTCCTCGCTCATTTTTCCTGATTGAGGTGTCATATGAAAGGGCAGAAACTCAACTTTCTAGAAATGTGAATTTTTCTTCGAAATTCAGATACCGCCCGCCAAATGTCTTTTTGGTTTCCTTCCTTCAAATTGCTTTTAATCACTCATGCGTGAAATACGTATTATCTGAGTAGTATCACATGAAAGAGGAGACTCTAAGCTTTCCAAATATGTATCATTCATTAATTATGGTTGTGATTAAGTTATAATAAAACATCGATACTTCTCGGTTTCGTTTTTCTCTGGGACGCACTGTATAATTCAAAGCTAATGGTGAGAGTTTTTTCGATCATCGCGACAACTTATAGGTGACGTAATAAAAAAAGTTTACATTTCATCAAAGTAATCAATTATTTACTGTAAATTCTTACAATCTTTCCAGTTCAGGTAGTCCGTCAAATGTTCCACTCAATGTAACGAGGTTGTTCTTCTGAAATCGCCTATGTGAACAAGAAAAGTATCAGAAATTAAACCTGTTGCTTGAAAAGCATCGATAATTTCTGATGATGGACATATCATTATATGTAGTTAATATATAACTTTCATTTTTACTTCTTATTTCGCTATATGCACATTTTATTATACAATTACTCAGTTTATCGGTTTTAATCACCATTAGAACAAAGATATAGTTGATTGATATTCCAAATTATACAAGACAGACAAAGGAACATTTTTTCTCGAATACTTACAATCGACTGATGTCCATACCGTAAAGGGATCTTTTCTCGATCATACGTATCCGATTATTCTCTATGTGTCTACAAAAGAAAAAAATATAATGTGGAAATATTCAGCTAAATAAGTAAAGCGTAAGCTTCCATATTACGTTATACCATTATTTCAATTCCCCTTTTCTAGTAAAACAAACAGCATTTGCAAGAGTAGAAATAAATTGAAAACCCCTGTAAAATAGACAATTGATTGAAAAGATAATGATAATAAAGATTCCATGGTGTGATGGTTTTTGTTGGCTCTATTTTATTTGCAGATAGTGCTCGTTGAGCAGTGTATGATAATTTCTGAAATTTAATATACATGTATTATGAGAACAGATAAGCACTATCAACCTTATGTAGTTAATAAAGTCTGGATGGTATATCTCTTTCTAAACTGGCATTCAATTATTAACTATGTAACAGTAAGGGTAAAATTCGAGAATTAAGATATGTAATGATAGACAAGCTAGTATATGTTAGTGGATGCCAGGAAAACATCCACAAAAAAAGCCTCTCCGCTATGCGCCTCGTGGACGATATTCCGCAAGTTTAGTAGATGCCAGCACAATATCACATACGGGGGCTCAAAATAGCAACAAAACAAAAATCGCCTGCCCGCTACACGGCTCGTGGACGATACTCTGCATCGTCATGGGTCAAACAACCCGCCCCTGAGCATGTCTCGTACACAAGGTTCAATGTTGAATATTGAGGTCTAAATCCAAACGACACTAAGGATTAAACACGGGCACAGTGGGTTGCTTTTACTAAACGCTCGGGTCGCGGCGCGCTGGAAAACACCCGGGTCACGGCTAGCTGGGCCAATATTTTTGTTAATCGTGTCTCCAAATCGACTTTTTAAGGGAGAAATTTATTGAAGAAGATATTTGATATTATCGACAATAGAAGGGTCTATGTATGATTTATCATTTTAATCTTTCTTGAATCCTCTCGTCACATGCATGCCTCGCATCTTTCCTCTTTTTATCTCTTCTATCATCCTTTATTCATATATATCTTTATCTTTGATTTTTCTACCATCCATTTCTTGAATTCCTTCTGCTATAACTTCTTAATTGTATTTCTGCCCTCTGTCGTAGTTTCTCTGTTTTTTATTTATTGTTGTCCTTTGATT